AGTTTTTGTTCATCAGGAAAAGTCCCAGGGATTGTGTAAGTCACAGGAAACAGTGGGGCAGGAGGGCAGGATGTACTGCTATTAGTAGATAGTGGAATTGAGAGATCTTTAAAAGCTGTGTTACCATATTTGGAGAAGTTATTGCAGGGTTAACGCTACCTCGGAGGAAAAAGAATAGGAGCTTTCCTCAAACGACCACTGGACAGCAAAAAAAAAAAGACCCCTAGCAACACGCCGCGCAGATGCAGAGCACGTCGAGAATATCACAAAGTCCGGAACTGAAGGGGTATAAGAACTGAAAGACCGGGAGGTGCGGTGCGAGCCGTTGGTGGGAGCAGAGGCTCCCCGGCCGCCCAGCGCTGCATTTGCCCGTACTGCTTGCTTGCTAAATTAATAAAATTCTCTTTATAAAGTGACACAAATTGGTCCCGTGTCATAATTTATCACACCGGGTCCCGGCCTGCCCGCCCCGCGGGAGCAGAGCTCCGGAGCCGCGGATCGCAGCCCCGCTTTGTGCTCGTCTCTGCACAAGGCAGGCCAGACTTCCCACGTCCGCACCTTTCAGCTCAGCACGGGAATGAGAACACACCAACCCTTGGGGGAAGAAACCTCTTAAGGTCTCAGCCTCTGATAAACAATCAATAATGATAGTGTTCATAGGCATTAATCAAAAGCCCTAGAGCAGTGGCTCAGCATAATCTGGCTCCCTGAGCTAAGTCAAGAGAGGTTTAGGCTGGATATCAGGAACAGGTCTTTTTTTCCCACAGGGTGGTTGAGCACTGGAACAGGCTCCCCAGGAAAGTGGCGACAGCACCAAGCTTGTCTGAGTTCAAGAAATATTTGGACAACGCTCAGGCATGTGATGGGATTGTTGGGGTGTCATGTGCCAGGTCAGGAGCTGGACTGGGTGATCCTGGTGGGTCCTTTCCAACTCAGCCTATTCACCTCCACAGGCGCAACTTGAGGCCATTCGCTTTTATCTGTTAATCTGTTAACCTGTTAATCTGTTAACTGAGAGGAATCCAATCACCACCTGGCTGTCCCCTCCTCTCAGGAGTTGTGCAGAGCCAGAAGGTCCTCCCCGAGCCTCCTTTTATCCAGACTCAGCTCCCTCAGCTGCTCCTTGTTCTCCATCCCCTTCACCAGATCTAATCCATTTTGTGGACACACCCCAGTTCCTCAATGTCTTTTTTGTCATGAGGGTCCCACAAATCACCTGAGGATTTGAGGTTTGGCCATAGCAGGATTTGAGGTTTGGCCATAGCAGTGCCCAGAACAGGGGGACAATCGGTGCCCTGGTTCCACTGGCCACACTATGGCTGCTGGCCACAGAAGGCTGCCCTTGACCTTCTTGCACACCTGGACATGTGCTGGCTTATATACAGCGGCAGTGGTGATTTCCCTCTCCTCTCCAAAGCAGCAATACAGTAATTCTTTATTTTACAAGCCAAGGTGTAGCAGAAGATAAACACAAAGCAAGGGGGAAGCAGGTCTTCTCCAGGATGCAGAAGAATCTGAAGCAGAGAATAAAGCTTTGAGGAATCAGTCACAAGGAATTATTTCATTTCAATACCCCAGTCCAGGATGCAAGAAAGAAGAGAAACCAGGGAGCCTGGTCAGCATTCCTGGTCTCCAGCTCTCTGCTGACACTTCTGAAGCAGGACTCAGCAGCAGAGAGTGTCTGCACCTCCCGTGCCTCCTCTGCCCTGTGTGAGCAGCGCACAGCAGCTCTGGCAGGGAACCTTCGCTGCAGAGGGCTTGCGTGTTTTGGCTTTGTACCTTAATGCAACGATGCTTTGGGTCCCCAGGACACTCCTCTGCCGAGGGAGGAGCAGCTGCCGCATCTCCTACTGTTTCCAGCAGCTGAGGAATTGCCATGGAACAACTTCAGCACAGACCTTTTAGCTGGAGCTTGCTGTTCCTTCTGCAGCCTTCTCCCGTGCCAAGGTGTCTCACCTGCCGTTCTGGCAGCCGGTGAGCCCTCAGGTGGGAGCTGCCGGCCAAGTGACCCCTCAGGTGGGAGCTGCTGGCCGGGGAGGCTCGGGGAGCCTTGCCCGGCCATCCCTCGGGCTCGCGGTGAATCCGCCGCCCTCGGAGCAGCAGCGCTGGAGGCGCTCGCAGCGCTCCGCGGTACAAGGGGGACACCGGGCGGGCGCTGCCGGCACACGGCGGCTGCTGCCGCTCCTGGGATTTCCCGTCCTCTGGCGGAAGGATGGGAAAAGTCACTGATCTTCCACTTACCACGGAAAGCACCGCTCCTTTGGAGAAGTAGAAGTACTGCACGCAGAAGAATTATTATACCTGGGAGCACTCTTGTTAGGCATTTTTAAAAACAGTTCAATATTACAGCCACACAAACAGAGCAGATATTAGAGGGAGAGTTCAAATCCCCTAAAATTTCTGTGAAATAATTAGGATCAGAACTTAATTTCATCTACAGATGACTCACTCTTCCTGTAAGTTCTACTCTGCTGAATTGTCAGGAATGGAATCATCTCCACCGTTGCTGATGCAGTGTAGTGAAGAACCATCTCCTGATGGCAGCACATTTGCAGTCCAGAGCTGAGAATGCACAAGATGAGAACGAGTGAGGTCTGGGCTGAAATCCCTGCCCGGGGAAGGGCAGCAGCAGTGAGCCAGCCCTTGCCTTTTCAGGGGAGTGCGAGGGCTGCAATGGCAAAGGCAGTTTTCCGTGCCTTGGCACTCAGCATCGCTGCAGCACTTGGGAGTGAGTGCCAGCTGGGAATTCTGAGTGTTGGCCTTTGATCCTTGGCATGAGAGCTGCTTTTACATTTTTTCCCCCTCCATGTTCATTCACACTGGCTTTTGCAAACATTTGTCTATATATTGACTTTTATTTGCAGGAGCATTTAAGAGTCTGGCTGTGATTAAGACCCTAAATTTTAGGAGAGCAAACTTTTTAAGGAAGTGTCCACATAGGATTCCCTGGAAACTGTCCTCAAGGATAATGAAGTTGAACAGAGCTGGCATCCATTTAAAGCCATTTTTCTTAAAGAGTAAGTACAGCCAAAACCTGTTCCCCGAGACCTGGGAAACAAAAGCCAAGTCATGACCACCAAACAGTTGTTTTACTAATTAATTTTAGTTATCATGTTGCATGAGGGCTTTAGTCTTCTCCAGAATTTCAGCTTGGTCTCAATGCATTGATCTTGGTTTGCACAGATAACAGCAGACAGTATTTACTAACATGCCAACACCTCCTTCTGTAGCCAGCAACTAGTCTCAAGCTGGGCACTAGTGAGCAGCAGTCTGTGATACTGAGCCACTTACTGTGAAATGCTTGCATAGCAAGCACTGCATAGCAGTGGTAGTTCCATTTGCTATATTTTCCAAAAGATTGGTTGTCCCTTTCTCCAGCTAACAGATCCATAGCTGTGGAATGGGGATCCTCTTTCTGCTCAAGGCTTAATTGATGTGACAACTCCAGGAATGTTTTCCTTGGCACAGCTCCAACACAGCCAATACTGATTAGGGCAATTAGCCCATTCTGTGGTGCTGAGCTCATGGCAGGCAGTGGTGCTGCTCAGCCCAGCTGTCAATACTGGCATGGCAGGTCTGCATGGTGCAGGATGGACCCCACTGCATGGCTTGCAGTTCACAGCCTGAAAAAATCCATTTGGATTTAGAATTCTCTTCACCAAGATGGCAATGGATAGTTGGTGCTTGAGACATGAACCTAAAACTGGCAGAAGTTTTATGTGTGTGTCCCCACAATTCCACCAATTCCATCATTCCCACTCAGCAAACCTCTTGGTGCCCAGATACAGGGTGCTGAGTACAAATCAAAGAATTTGTTCCCTTTGAACATTCATTAGTATCTAAGATGTATGAATTAACAAATTAGAAGAGTAGCCAGGGCATATTTGGGGTGGCCTAATGGTGGCCTTCCTGTTTCTGAAGGGAGCATATGAGAAAGAAAGATGGAGAATGACTGTTTCCAAGGGTCTGGGGTGTCAAGACAAAGGGGGATGTCTTCCCACTCCCAGAGGGCAGGGTTAGATGGGGACAAACTATCCCATGTGAGGGTGGTGAGGCCCTGGCACAGGTTTCCTGGAGAAGCTGTCCTGGAGATGGCTGCCCCATCCCTGGAAGTGTTCAAGGCCAGACTGGACAGGGCTTGGAGCAAACTGGTCTAGAGGAATGTGTTGCTGCCTATGGCAGGGAGGGTGGAACCAGATGATCTACAAGCTTTATGATTACAAAGTCCCCTTCTAATCCAAACCATTCTCTGATTCTCTGAATGCAGATGAGTACTACAATATTAATAATTTCAAAATATTATGGTGATCATCTTCAAAAATCAACATTCAAGAGGAAAACATTCTCAGCACAATGATGGTTTGTGCAATTATAATCTCTTCTACAAGGTCATGAAATTAAAATTTATGTTAATTACAGCCCATGGCAATGATTATGCTAACAAACTGTTCCACTAATTATATTTAGGTACTTAGATTGCATTAGCCAAGAAGTTTTATGCAAAGATTTGAAAAATGCCTATATCTCATAAATAAGAAAAAATATTAATGCAGATAATACATGCCTCAACCCACAATTACAGCAACATGTTTTAATTCAGTTGCTTAACACACAAGTTTAAAAATGGAATTAGAAAACATAGATACTAATCAGTTCTATGAGATCCATACTTGCTTATCTTTGAACTTTTTTTTCTTTAAATAAGATAGGAATTCAAGAAATGAAGTGAAATATCTTCCTTTTTCGAAATGAAAGTTTTTTTTTCAACAGGTATTCCAGCTCTTTGAACCTCCCTCTGATCAAACCAGTATTGTACATACTGGGTTTTACCTTCTGCCCATGAACCAGGGGATCCAGTCTGACCCTCGGTGCTGATCTCCCCTAGTCACTTAGAGGCTCTTGAGCCAGCCTTAGGCATGGCCCAGGTCCTCCACCACACACCCACTCCCGGTGGCTTGGGCCTTGAAAGTAGTCTCTTCTTTGGCCAGCTGAGTATTACACTTGTATATTTATTGAGAAAGACAAATGGAAACTCTTGCACACAGCAGTTACTGCCACAAAAATTCTTGTTCTACAGTCCTATGGGGTTCTCTTTCTCAGAACAATTCAACATCAGCGCCAAATATGGGACAATATTTGAAGGAAGCGGCGAAGGATAATATTGCCATTGACAAGCCTGAGAAATGGGCTGACAGGAACATCACCAAGTTCAAGAAGGGGAAGCCCAAAGTCCTGTTCCAGGAGAGGAACACTACCAGGCAGGCACCAGAGCATACTGGGGGCCATTCTATCTGGGCTGGAAAGCTTTTGCCAGGAAAGGCTTTGGAGGTCCTGGAGAGCACCAAGGTCACCATAAGCCAAAATATGCACTCTTCTGGGATCCTGAGCTGCATCGAGAGTGCAGCCAGCAGGCCAAGGGAGGGGATCCTTCTCCTCTGCTCAGCACTGCTGAGCACCTCTAGGGCTGGTTCCAGGCTGGGGCTCCTCAGCTCAGAAGAAAGCAGTGAAGGGCTGTGAAGATGATGATGGAGGGACTGGAACAACTCTGCCGTAAGGCAAGATGGAGGAAGATGGAACTCTTGGTCTGGAAAAGAGAAAGTTTAGGGTGATCCTATCCATGTCTATAAATACGTTAGGGGAGGGATCAAAGTAGATGGAGCCCAAACCAAACCTGCTCAGGGCCCTGAACACAAACACCAGCCTTTTTCCCTGGGAAAGAAAACTCACCAGTCCAGGTTCCTGATGTCAGTTTGTAGGGTTCCCTTGGTGTCACTGTTGAGGCAGGACGGGAATGAGAAGACTGACTCAGAAGGCTGCTGAGAGTAAAACTCCGGTTTATTTAAAATACACCGCTCTTTTATACAGAGCTTCGTGAGGAACAATTCCATTGGTCCTGAAGTGAAAACAGCCCACACCATTGGTGCAGAGTGCTTGATGCACAGTGATAGAACTTAACTATAAATAATGTGAACAACAAGAGCGATAAAGAATTATTTACATTCTTCTCCAACTCTTTCCTAGGCTTCTGCCTGGCTAGAAACTCTCCGTTTCTCTCTTTGACTGAATCTGAGACCTACAGATTTGCAGTTAGGGGTTGCAAGCAGCACTACCTGATGGCCCAGTGCAGGGGTGTAGAATTCAAATCCCCACCCAGCTGATCCACTACCGCACCTTTGGAAATGTAATATCTGTGTAACAACAACACAATAAGGCAATACCACAATATAATAACACAATAAAATAGAAAGACATTATTCTAAAGATAACATAGCTAAAGGAGCAAATGACTCATAATAAAAATTTCACGTTACAGCTTGCAATTAGTCCTTGTACAGAGGACTCAATGGCTCTGGGCCTGCGGTCACCAACATCCCGGGGCTGTGGGGACACAGGGACCTCCAGCTCCTGGAGGAAATGTGTCCTGGCCCTTGGACAATTGGCAGTCACCACTCACAGGTCATTGGAAAAGGGATAATTACCACTCCCAGCTCAGGCTGCAGACCATGGCTGACACACTCTCACCATCACATCACAGTGGGGTACTGGCTGGAAGGATCACGGCTCAGGTCAGGTCTTCAGGTAGGGACTGGGAGAGCCATTCAGGGCACAAGAGCTTCAGCAGCCTGCATAAAAGGGAAGAAAACTGAAAGATCAGGCACATTTCTGAAAAAAAAAACCCCCACATTTATTTCCCAAACCCTGTTTTGGGAGGTCAGAGCAGTAGGCAGAAGGTGGCACAGGTTTAGTAGATGGCACCTGCCCACAGGCAGGCAGCTGGGTGCTTTCCTGTGACTGGTTACTGCACTTTCCATTACCATTGGTTGTTTTTAAGGCAGCAGAAGATACTTTTGGGGGGTAAAATGAGACCAGCACCATGGGAATGACTCCGGTATCTCAACATTTCCTGTGGGCTCCATGCACATGACTTAGGATGGTGCAGACCAAGCTGCTCAAGTGCCCAGCCCTGCCTCCCATTTCATAGGAAGAAAGAAAAAGAGTTCAGCAGGGCTCAACCTGAAATGATATTTTGTAGCTTACGGCTCTCCTCAGAGCTCTGGTAAGAGAGGAAGGTCTCTGTCCCTGAAAGCCACGGACCCTTGGAATGCACAATGGACCTGTGTGTCACTTCAAGAGACACCAAGAAGCCCTGCCACTTTGAAAGGGCAGCTGTTGTTTCACTGCTGCATTTCTTGGCTCGACAAAGCCCCTCCGACCCGCACTACGGCCTGAGCTTGAAGATATAAAGTACCACTCTGGAGGACAGGCATGGAAAGCTTGCCAAAGGCTGAAGGCAGCACTCTGATTCCCCCTTTTCCCAAGACGTTTCTTTAGCTGAAGTTGCTGACAAGGACCAGCCTTGACACACCAAAATGGGTTTGCTGTTTTATTTTCCAGGTCCTCAGTCCTGCGTGGGACTCGGTAAGTGGGTGCTGCAGAGGCTCCGGCAAGGCATCAAAAACGCCGGCCCCACACCCAATGGTGGCGCGAGATCTCCTCCAGCTCCGGCCTGTCCGCAGGGTGCTTGGCCAAACACCATCGGATCAGGTGCTGGAGCTCTGGGGAGAGAAGCCAGAAAGCGCCGGTCACCGCCAGAAGTCTCCTGCCCAGCTGCCCCCGTCACCCGCGGGGCCCGGGCCGTGCCGCGAGCGCTCTGGGCCGTGCCGGGCTCCCGACCGGCTCAGCCCCGCGCGGGAGAGCGGCACGGCGGGACGCGGCCGCCTCCTCCGGCCGCCCGTGCCGCGCTGACCCCGTCGGCACGGGCCCCTCCTGCGGCCGGCCCGTGAGGGCAGATCCACGTCCCGCGGAGCTGCGTGAGGGCCGCGCCGGGCGTGCGCCGCCAGCTGCCAAAGCCCGCCGGCTTGAGGCCGGACACCCACCTGGAGAGAGCTGCCGCCGGAAGAAGAGCTTCCCCAGCACGATGGCTTGGTCGTCCTGGAAGGGGAGGCTGCCGCAGACCATGACGTACAGCAGCACGCCCAGGGACCAGGTGGTCGCCGCGTGGCCGTGGTAGCAACCCAGCCAGGTCCACTCGGGCGGGCTGTACACGCGCGTTCCTAGGGGAGACAGGCGGCGCTGGCCGGGCGCAGGCTGCTGCCTTCCAGAGCCTGGCACCAGCCTCCTGACCGAGGCAGGGGCTGCGCCCGCGGCCACAGCTTCCCCCCCGAGGCCACCCCGCATCCCCCAGCCAGCTGGCCAAAGGCAGGAAACCATTCTGCGAGGCCAAGAAGGCCAGCAGAGCAGCCCAGGCCCTTGTGGGCCCGCTGAGCCCAGGGGCCGGGAGCCGCTTTTGCCGCCCCCTCTCTCGTCAGGGCCGGCAGCCGCCTCCTGGGGCACGGCATCCGCCCCGTGCCAAAGGGCAGCCGGCTGAAGGCCGCGGCCCGGGAGGGAACGGGGCCGTGCAGTGCCTGGCACCGGGAGCAGGGCCCAGGCCATGGGCTCACCGGCAAAGTCCGTGAAGGCCCGCTCCTGGAGGAAGGTGCCGCAACCGAAGTCGATGAGCTTCAGGTCGCCGCTCTCCGGGTCCACGAGGAGGTTCTCCGGCTTGATGTCCCGGTGCAGGACGCCGCAGGCGGTGCAGTGCCGCACGGCCTCCAGCACCTGGCAGAAAAGCCAGCGCGCCTGCTCCTCGCACAGGAACCCCTGGTCCTGCTCCTGCAGGAACTCCAGGAGATCCCGTGATGCCCCCGGACGCTCCAGCACCAGGATGAAGCTATCCGGCAGCTCAAACCAGTCGAGCAGCTGGATGATGTTCTGGCAGCCAGAGCCCACCTTCTCCATCAGCACCACCTCCAAGGGCACGCGGGTGCCGTCGGGCTGTGAGGAGGAGAAAATGAGTCCCTGCGGCAGGTGCTGCTGCTGCTGCTGCTGCAGGCCTGGGGCCGCGCTGCGCCCTGCCCGGGATGCCCCAGTGCCCCCTGCCGCAGCCTCCCAGGCGCTTGCGCTTCCTCCCGCCCGGGGGATGCTCGGGGCTGCCCCTGCCCGGCCCCGGCACCGCTGTTCGGCGTGCCCAGGCCCGCGGGGCTGCGGCTCCGCACGCTGAGCCCGCCCCGGGATTCTCCCTGCCCGCCACGCCCCGCTCTGTCCCGCTGGCCCCGCTCGCTCACCAGCTCGTCCCACTGCAGGACGCTCTCCCGGGCCACGCGTTTGAGGGCCACCTGCGAGCCATGGGGAGAGGAGGGCTGAGCTCCAGCCCTGCCCCTCCCCGCCGCTGCCCCTCCGCCCACGCCCGGCCGTCGCGGCCACTCACCGGGCTGCCGTCCGAGAGGCGGATGCCCGAGAAGACGGTGCTGAAGCCGCCGCTGCCCAGCTGCGGGCCCAGCAGGTACCGCTCCTGCCGCTGCCTCCTTTGCCCTGCGGCCAAGAGCGAGCCATCAGCCTTGCGCCCAGGACCCGCCCCTCCCGCAAGTGCCCGCGAGTGGAGCGGGCCGGGCCCCGCGGGCCGCCGCGCTCTCACCCGCTTCCTGCTGCGCGCCGGGCAGCGGCCACCGCCCTGCAGCCGCCGGGCTGGCGAGCGGCAGAGCCGGGCCGGGGCAGCGCGCACAGGCGGCTGCGGCAGCCCCGGGGCAGCGGGGCAGGGCGGCACCGGCGCTGTCCCCGGCGTCGTGGGCTGGGCTCTGCTCCTGCCGACGGCCGGGGCTGCAGCCCGAGGCTTGGCACGGGGGAGACCCAGGAGCAGCTGCAAAGCAGACAGGGCGTTTTCAAGCCGGGCCATCGGAGGCACTGGAAACAGCCAGCGACTGGGCTGCTCTCAGGGGCCCTGGCCTGGCCTGGCCGCGCCCCTCCAGAGCCCCGGCGGAGCCTCAGGCAGCTCCTCAGGAGATCTCACCTGCTACTAGAAAGCCCTTCGCGGCACTCGAGGGCTGTCTCGGGGCAGCTTCCTGCAGATGGAGGAACCTCTGAAGGCTCGTCTCCACCACCAGGCTCGGGCTGTTGCCAGCTGGCAGAAGCGGCACAGCGTCCTGGCTGTCCTGGCCGCTGTGGGATGACCACAGCTGGCTCCAGGACTCTTGCTGCCCCGTCAGCTGCTCCTGAGCAGGCTCCCCTGCATCGGGCTGGGCTCCCATTTGGACTTGTGGGCTTTCGCCTGACACGTAAAGGGTCAGGATTGTGCCCGTGTCGTTGACGTCCGTGAGTCCAAGGGAGCTGGGAGACCTGTCCACGGGCTCTGCTCCTTCCGCAGGCTGACAGGTCTCACTGAGCCTCTGCGAGGGATGGAGGCTGTCAGAGATAGCAGAGGCTGCTGGCAGGGTGCAGGGTCTCTGACAGCCTGAGGTTCCTGCATGGATGGTGGTGGCTCCCCCCTGCTGTGCCATCCTTGCAGGCCTTGAGGCTCTCCCAGGGATGGAGAATCTCGCTGGGAGCAGCCTCTGGAAGGGATGGAGGCTTGTGGAGGAGCTGGCCGAGGCACAGCAGGGCAGGTGGCCTCGCTCCAGCAGCTCCTTCAGCTCTTTCCACAAGGCCTGCCACATCCCAGAGTAGAGGGGCGCACGTGTCCCGTTGCCATCCCAGAGCTGCAGCATCAGTTCCTGCAGCTCCCGGGCCACTGCCAGGCAGGGGCCGCAGCCGCAGGGGCTGCCCAGGGGGCTGGCGGGAGCACGTGGCCGCTCGCCAGGAGCAGCCCGAGGCCTGGGGAACCTGGGAGCCGCAGGGGCTCCTCGCTTCCTCCATGAGCCTCTGGGCCGGACCCTGGGGCGCTGGCTCCTCTTCGCTGTCCGTGTGCTCCGGCTCCGTGGTTGCCGGTGGCCAAAGGCCCACCAGACAGCC